CTATTGTAACTACCAATTATTATGTGGGTTCTAAATTTATGACAATATTGGGGAAAAATTTAGTCTAACTCGGGTAAAGTACATTATTATTTAACTGATTTTCTAACAAATATATGTCTATATACGTCTTTAACATAGGTACCACCTGAAAGATGCAGTTCTAGAAGGAGGAATCCCCTTCAACAAGGCATATGGCATGACAGCCTTTGAATACCACGGCAAAGACCAAAGGTTCAACAAGGTGTTCAATCAAGGGATCTCCAATCCCTCAACCATAATCATGAAAAAAATCGTCGAATGTACAAAGGCTTTGTCGGCCTCCGAACCTTAGTTGATGTCGGTGGAGGAATCGGGACCTCCCTCGACATGATTGTCTCCAAACATCCATCCATTAAGGGCATCAATTTCGATTTGCCTCACGTCATCAATGATGCTCCATCTCGTCTAGGTCGATTGTTCGGAAATGAATTGATTTTAGTTTTGTCTCGCATGATAATTATTCTTTGACTTAATTAACAACGATTGAATATAAAATTTTTAATTCACAATTCAACTCAAGTCTAATCCAAATTTAACTCTTCTTAGTATTATCAACCAATCATACTATACAGTTTCCAACACAACTTACTATTCATTATTCGTATAATTTTAACTACTACAAGTCTACAATCATTATTTTATTACTCATATTGGTACATTTTAAGTCATATCCACTCACAAGCTCGAAATCAAATCCAAAGTTTCACTAAAAACTTTTTTTTACAATCTTAACTCATTTTATCCACTAAATCAAATCAAATAAAAAAAAAAACTTACTTCCAATCATCGAATCAAATCTCAAAAAAACTTACTTCCAATTGCATTAATATTTCTCTTAAATTAGGTCCACAATTCAAAAGTTTTCTTTCATTTCTACAAGCATCGAGCATGTTGGTGGCGACATGTTTGCAAGCATGCCTAAAGGAGACGCTATTTTTATGAAGGTAAGCTTTTTACATATCTAGCTGCGTATAGTTTCGAACACCACGAAAAAGTAAAGAAGCAATTAATTAAATGAATCGATTGCAGTGGATTTGCCACGACTGGAGTGAGGAGTACTGCCTGAAATTCTTGAAGAATTGCTACGAAGCCTTGCCGGGAAACGGGAAAGTGATCCTTGCCGAGTGCATCTTGCGGAGGCTCCGAATACAGAGCTTGCCACGAAAATTGCTGTCCATGTGGACGTGATCATGTTGGCCCATAATCCGGGTGGCAAAGAGAGGACATAAAAGGAATTTCAGGCCCTGGCTAAAGGGCGGGCTTTAAAGGGTTTCAAAATATTGGTTGTGCTTACAATATTTGGATCATGGAGCTTCTCAAATGAAGGATTGTTGTTCAACTTGAACAACAATCATTCATTTGATCGTTAGGTTTCAATCTCTTGAAATCAAACACCAAGTCACCATTGATTCATACAGGTTTCTCTCTTGTTTTCATGAATTATAATAAAATGTTGTTTGATATATAGAGCATATATAGGCTAATCAAACGCCAATAATTCATATATGTTTCTTTCTTATTTTCATGAATTATAATAAAATAATGTTTGATCCTTTTTTTTTGGCTAGTAAAATGTTGCTTGTTCGTTAATTTTTATAAAATTATTTTATCGTTGATTTTGAATAAGAATTTACAGTTTGTTGATAGAGTTCTCTTATCGTTATTCTCAATCGTCTACCACACTACATCACTTGGTATTAGAAGTCAGCACGATTCACGATGTAGCAGCGACGACAAAATACAATCGACCGGCGTAACGCCACCATCAACGATCGGTTTGAGCAGATGGATGATCGATTTCAGCAGATGGACGATCGATTCACTAATCTATCAATGGATATCGAATAATTGGGTCTCACTGTCTTACCATGGTGGAGGGTGCGCATATGTACCGCGACGCTAGCAATCGGGGCATGTGTGGGGGATTTCGCGGCGAACGTGGAGGAGTGGCATAGGCAAGGCGCCCCACCAGTGTTCGCCACAACCGCTGCCCGACGAGGCGAGGGCTAGGAGACCGTTTCAGACGTCAATATCTTCAGAGATCAGCAGGCGCGAGGTGAAGCCGAGGGCTTTGACCAGGACGACCTTCGCGACTGGCTGCGTTTGCCCCAGGTTACGTGGATTTTGAGGAGCTGCGGCGCCGCGAGCCTCGGCGTGAGACCGAGGGCTTTGGTGAGTCACAATGGGAGACGAGTTCTTGGGTGGAGCATCTTAACGGCGACACGAGCGATTTCTATGATGGTCCGCTGGCTTACAATGAGGAGCCTCCGGGATCAGAGGAAAACTTGACCGAGGATGTCGGCGGATCACGTGCTTTGTTTAAGGAGGACACCGGCTTCTATGACGGACCACCGGTCTTCGACGAGGAAACATTGAAAACAGAGGAGCGGTCTGGGGCACCTACGCCGGTTGCGGGAGGTTCCAGCTGCACATGGATACCAGCGTTGGGGACTGGCAGCCAACCCGTGGGCGGTTTGCAGTGTTTCTTTTGCGGCGAACTGGGGCGTCGACAAGTATCTTATCCAACGCCAAGTTTTTCACTTGTGCTTTTAGCCGGGGACAGTGGGGCCGCCGAATATGACGAACTGTCTATGTTCGGTGAGGAGCAGTCGGTGACTGAAGAACATGTCTGCGGCGATGTGGGCCCGTTAAAATATATGACCCTTTTTTACCTGCAAATGGTTTCTTGGGATTACACAAATGTTTTAAGCAATAATGGGGGTAAGTGTGCATTTCACTAAGTATGTTGGTGGATAATTCCTCAATCTTTGGGCAAACTACAGACACAAAGCCACTCTCATATTGAATTACAATGGTTTGAGTGGAATAATTCCTGAACAACTGTGTCACTGCTTAAGCCTTGAGAAAATAAATGTGTCTTATGATAACTTTACTGGGTTGGTCTCGCTTTTGGGTGTTTCGAATAGACACTCGGTTGTCGAGCTTGTTGTTCCCGATGGCGGATGCTTGCAGGCTCGATTCCCTCCACAACTTGAAGATATCATAGGCTACATTATTTCTTGAGCTACTACAATTATCTTTGTCGATTGATGGATATGCGGAGGACAATTTCATTTGAAATCGGCGTTCGCGTGTGGGACGGCGGTTGACGACGACAACGAGATAGAATCGGATTCGATGGCGAATCTTGCTCAATCAGGAGAGAATGATGCAGAATAGGATTTAATCTTGCTTAATCAGGAGAGAATGATGCAGAATAGTATATTTTGAATAACAATATACAGTTTATCGAGAGATTTTCTTCTCTTATTTCCCAATCATCTACCATACTACATCACACAGTATGGTAGTAGTTCAACAAAAATAAACCCTTTAATTATTCATTAATCCCTGCATTTTATTCTGAGCTCCTAACCTTAGTTAAATCATACACTTGTTCTATATAAAATTCTTGAAAAGTTCCAAACAGTGCCCTTGGTCAAGATTTCTGCCCCAGAACTTGTCATAATACTCTGAATAAGTGTAGTCTCTGTAAATTGCTTTTGACCCATTTTCTGTAAGTTCCTTTGGAGCTTTGATCACAGCATTGTTTGATGGGCACAAAAATGAAGCTACTGAGATTCTTGCTTTGTGGGCATTCACCACAGCTCTGTGCCAAGTGCTTTTGTATCTTGAGTTGCTCAAAGCCTGCCAAAGTTAATTTGAGTTCGATCCAAAAAACAAAAATTATATGTAATATCTACAATCTATCATTATATAAAAAGAATAACTTTTTTAACAAATTTAGAAATTTTTTCCCGCCAAAATTATTAAATATATCATACATATAGTAATTGTTGGACAAATCTGAATAGGCAAAAAAATCGGCTCATTAATTGTGTAAAGATTTGTTTCTCTTTTTCTCTTTTTCCTTTTTTTAGTTTATCAAAACCGTTGTTTGACAATAAATATTTGTTTTTCTTTTTCCTATTTTTAGTATAAATCTACACGAGCTTATCTTCTGTTACAAAATCTCATTGCATACGTGTTTAAAAAATTTCATCCCTTATCTATACAAATTTGAAAAAATAAAATAAAATAGAAACCAAATCATTTGAAAAAATAAAATAAAATAAAAATCAATTCATAATTACTACTAGAAATCCATTATCTTTAAAAAGAGAATAAAATAAAATTCATAATTACTACTAGAAACTATCTACTTTAAGAAGCTAATTTGCATCGGTTTAATTACTAATATTTTTACAAATATTATAAGCTAACCATACAATAAAGTATAATAATAATTTTGAAATGGTATAATCAATTTTTTTTATATTGTCTTATACAAAATAATTTTACATTGTTTGACCCCGAATCTTTAATTTATAATTATTAAGTATTGTTCATCCTCTTCTTTAATTTATAATTATTATTTTTTCTTCCTCTTTTTAAATAAGATCAATAGTAGTTTCCACTTCCGCCATTGAGTGACTCAAACTCGAGTTCTATTTATAATATTGTTAATTTAATATTGTTCTCGTGCATCGCACGGGGTACACACTAATAACGGATTAAAAAAATGGTACTAACTGTTTTTTATGAGCACTTTAACAAATCAAAGTAACAACATTAAAAAATGTTCATATCCCCTTATATATTAATTCAAAACGTACTAAGCCTAAGTGGCAGACTCGCACGCTTTGGAATCCTACACGTCACAATATCATGCTTTGTATTTAGGTTTGGATAAAAAATTTAGAAACAAAATTGACTTGGAAAGTGCCATAAATAATTTCTCCACCATACATTATTGTCTCTTGTCAATCTATGTTTCATTACCAATTTTGTCATCACACAAATATTTTTCTCCTTATTTCATTTTACCAAGGATTTATCCCATTCATTATATTTTTTTATTTTTTCAAGTTGATAAATTTTAGCCCATTTTTCAGTTTATGTCTTTGTTTGCGTGATGAATAATGATGAATTAAATTTATATATCTATACTTATATAAAAAGCCATCCTATCTATACTTATATTAAAAGGTATACCATTTACCAGATTTAGTATAAAGAAAAGTCAACAACATTTATTGCATTACTATTTCCGTATTATATAATCTATACTTATATAAAAGGAGATTCTATTTACTACATTTACTATCCATAAAAGTCAACTGCATTAAATGTCATTACTATTTTGGTATTATAATATTTTATTTATTTAATTGATTTGTTTATTTGTTTTATTTTAAAAAGGTAAGTATAATATAAAAAATTAGTAATAAAAAAATCAAATACCAAATAAAAGTATACACTTTGACTTATTTGATTATATTTGGTATTTGATTATACCAAATATATTCCTATTTAGTATATACATTAAATACTTACTAAAGTATTTATTTGTTTTATTTTTCAAAGTTAAGTATAGATTTGTTTATATTATCAAATCATAAAAAAATATTAAATCCATATTGTAAAAAAAAAATCATATAATTTTATAACAATTCTACTACAATATTTAACAATATTTTTTTTATTATATAATAAAATAATAATTAAATATTATATGGTGAACAACAATAAGTAAAATTGTTACTTTCTCTTATATCAAGGGATAAATTTATATGCTAAAATTAAATTTTTATTAATATAAATGTTTTACTGAGATAATATATTAATTATTTTACAATAGCCCTAACATGCTCATATTTAATGTTTTAAAAGATGTAGAAAAAAAAACTTATAAGAACTCTATTGTTTTTTAGACTTAAACATTGATTAAAAGAGGTAAAATTCCTAATTTTTTAGACTTAAACGTTGATTAACACCATAGATTGAGAGTTTATATTAAGTAAAATTCCTAATTGTAATAAAAAAAATAATTTTTGCTATATTTTAGAATATCTTTAAATTCATTATAAAAAGAAAAAAGAAAAAAAACTACAATAAAAAAAGCAAGTCAGCTATATATCGATTTATTGTACTCCTCAAATCACATTCAGAATTTGGCTACAAGGAAAGGAAACTCATTGATTAAATATTATTTTGTCAGTAATCTTAATGTACAAGAGACTTTAAGACTCCACTTGAATATTATAAAACTTTTATTGAACATTGTACAATTTTCTTGCGTATTATAAACTTTTATTGAATATTGCATCTTATAATATAATATTCTCCAAATAAATATATCTTGTGTGTCGCACGGGTCACGTACTATATATATCCCGTACATTTTTTTTTATTCATCTATATAATTATAAGCCTGGATAAATAGCCTTAAAATTGTGCATCCCGTGCATCGTACGGGCTCTGTACTAGTTTACTAGAAATAGTAGACAGAAAAGTCAAACGTAGTTAATGCATTCTATTTCCATCAAGTATTTTATTTAATTATTTTATTTATTTGTTTTACCATCAAGCCATACTCTATGGCTATACCATACACAGACACCGCAGATCTTCGTTAATATAATTACAGCAATTTTGGAACTCTAATGATAAAATTTCAGATCTTCATCATTCCGTATTTAAAGTGATAAAATTCCACTAATGTTGAGCCATAAAAATATGGGATGTCGTATTTTTCCTTCACCACATGTCACTTAAATGATATGTCAAAACTCCAATGATGTTAAATCCTGAATGTCATATATTTTCTTTGTAGATAAATTCTTTTTATATTTAAATATGAGATAATAGTCGTCTAATATCACAATAATATTTAAATTTGAATATACTATTTTATGATTATTGTCATGATTTATATTTAAAAAAGAAATTATACATATCTTAGAAAGAAATTTGATTTATAAATTTGTTAAAAATATAAATTTCATGGTATATCTATATATAAATAATGGCGTGAAACAAAATAAGTGTTATTTTAGGTAATTTCACGCATTTGTTAATAATAGTATAAAACTTTCTAGCTATTAATGCTATAGATGTTATATAACATTTTAGGTACTTTTTGATAGGCATGTTTTATATATTTTTGCACAACTTAAATTTATGTAGCATTTTCAATAAGTTAATGTAGGTAAATTGTATTACATATTAACTTAATATTTTAAATTTATAAATATTATTTAATATTACTTATCCGTGCATCGCACGAGATTCGTACTAGTTATGTTTATTACCTGCAATTGATCACCAATGTTGACCACAAATGCATTTGGAATGGGCTTCACAGTCATCCATTTCCCATCCTTCAGCAGCTGGAGGCCCATTACATCCGCATCTTGCACGAGAATAGTTAAGGTGTTGGGATCTGTATGGGCTGGAAGCCCATACGTCAGTTCAGGCTCCGGACATGGTGGGTAGTAATTTATGGCCATATGCTGGCCCTGTTGGCCCAACATATTGTTAATGTAGTCCTTGTTCAGGCCCAAACTCTCTGAGATCGCTTCCTGAAGCCTCAGCCCAAGCTGTCGAATTTCCACGCAATAATTACCCACTATGTCCCTGCAATATGTAATCGTGATTCGTGGCTTTGTTTTTCTTCGTTCATTAGACTTTGTCAAGAAACTATTATATTTGTCATTTGATTGAATGTGAATAATAAGATAGACATGTCGGGTTTATTGCAATGAAATGTCAAAAGTGGAGATATGAAAAACAAAGCCTATGATCATGAAGAAAAAAAAGGCTATAGATTGCATATAATTTGCATTTGAAATTATGTGCATATGCTCCAATACGCCATTAGACCCCCAAATGTTCAAATAATCTCATGAGTTGATGTCAAGTCACTTTCAATGTCAAAACTTAAAAGTAAAACCATTTTTCTCCAAAACTCATAAATTACAATTCAATATTAAAAGTTTAACTCAATTTTATCCAAAAGTCACTTAATGCATCTCAGAGTTAAACGTTACTGCCTGATAAAACTTTATAACGCATGAAAAATCTAAATTATATGCATATGCTCCAATAGACCAAAATGTTACAATCTCATATTTTTGAGTTAAGTCACTCAATGTCAAAAGTCAAGCCAACTTTGTCGAATAACTTAACTCATCTCAATATTAAAAGTCACTCAATTTTATCCAAAAAGTACTAATACATCTGAATCTTAGATGTTACGATAATGTTACTACCTGATAAGATTTTGTTACCGCACAAAAATCTGAATCGGATCTTTCATAATTATTATAATAATTATCATTCGATTAGCTTTTACATAGAAATCAAATATACATCAGTAGAGCTATTCAATCATAGACTTTTAATATGAGGCAACTTCATCTCTCATGTCTTTTTGAACAAAAATACATATTTATGAAGTTATATTGTAAAATATCATTCTACTTATACAACTATACTTGCTTAACACCCTTAATCATATTAAAGCATTGATTAATTGAGGAAATAATTTGTTTTTCTTTCAATTATATCATTGCCTCTTCTTTTTTAAGCTTATCAAAACAAAGCTTAGCTCTTCAAGGAAGAAGAGTATTTCCAAACATTTAAAACAACAATAATTCAAGTAGTTAACCATTCTTACTTGAAAGATGGGGGATTGTTAGGCCAATCCTTGACATGATTTTCCAGAGGGTAACAATGAAGCCTAAGATAATCCCTCCAATTGTGAACTTTCTCCTTTAGAAAATTAGAACTTGTGCTCAACCTCATTGTTTTACAAGGGTCGTTCGAGTACAACTTCATCTTCTCCTCCACGGGAAGCTCAAAAAATTCCCTCGTCACTCGCACCATTTTTTCCATCAATTCTTCCGACACGCCATGATTTATCACCTGGGATCATATTAATTCACACGNTAAAAAAAAAAAAAAAAAAAAAGGAAGAAAAAAAAAATAATATGCAAGAACTATATACATTATTGATGTGTTGTCTAACAATTAGTTAGAAACATATACATGGAGCAATTATGGGATAAAAAATGCATGCACCCTTATTTTTTCTTCTTAAATTCTTCAAATGTACTGAAAGGAAATTGGAAAAGAAAAATCAATGACCTGAAAACATCCATTTTGCTGGCAAGCTTGAGCTATTTGATTGGCAATGAGTTTTGTATCCCCACAACCGAAGTCGATAACAGGGGCTTTATAGTAATCTTTGGCTTCGGAAAGTTTGGGCCGATCGGGCTCGGGCCGGATATAGCTTTGGGGAATGGTTGTGTGTGGAAAACCAGAGGATACTAATGGAATCTCCATGAAAATGTAAATACTTTTAAAAAAAAAAAAAAATACTTAAGAAATATGATGAACTATAGTTTTTGGGTGATAAGTGTAGTTTTATAGTGTTTGAGATATAATTATGATGATGTGTGAAGGAACAGGAAAAAGTTGACTTGGAATTTGGGGGCCATGTAATATTGAAAAGGAGATATATTGTGATTAAATCATTATCGTAAGTAGATATAGCTGCATAATAAAGTTTATCATATATTGAAATTTAGAATGATATATATTATCACTTAAATTTATTTTTATAGCTTGCCATTGTTTTCTAATCTAACAAATTAAAAAAAAATAAAAGTAATAATAATTAAGCAGTTTTGTGATCCGCAATTGACGCATTGCCTAACCAATACGCAATGGAAACTTTGCAAAAGACATGAAATCCTCTCCATTCATAAGATTGACAAATAATGTGAATAAAATCTTGTGCCCACGTAATTTAAAATTTATAAAATTCTACAAAATTATGCTGGACCATATAAATTCATATATGGAGAGAG